TTTTCTCCTTCACAGATGCTGCCAGACCTGCTGAGCTTTTCCAGCAACTTTGTTTTTGTTCCTGATTTACAGCATCCGCAGCTCTTTTGGTTTTTTTTTAAGCTATTCTTGAATCTCTGTTGATACATGTTTTCAAACTTTTGTATCTTGTCCCGACGGATGAGGGTGGAAAAGTGTATAACGTGGCTGGGAGGGGTCTTTGATGATGTTGGCTGCATTCCCAAAGCAGCGGGAAGTATATGCGGAATCAATGGATGGACGGCTGGTTTTCATGATGGACTGGGCTGCTCTTACAATTCTCTGTAATTTCTTGTAGTCTTGGGCAGAGCAGTTGCCATAACAAGCTGTGATGCATCCAGATAGGATGCTTTCTATCGTGCATCTATTAAAGTTGGTAAGAGTCATTGTGGACATGCCAAATTTCCTTAGCATTCTGAGGAAGTAGAGGCATTGGTATACTTTCTTGGCCGTAGCATTGACATGGATAGACCCGTACAGATTGTTGGTGATCGTCACTCCCAGGAACTTGATGCTGTCAACCATCTTCAACTCAGGACCATTGATACAGACAGGGTCATGTCCTCCACATTGCTGCCCCCTCAAGTAACTTCGGCCTGGGCTCATAGACCAACACTAATTTGTCGAAGGTTTGTAAAAGCAAAGTCAGCATAGCCCTCCCAGACTGTGGGAATCACTGTTGCATTACAGACAGACACATAGGGTGGTGGTGGTTTAACCTGAAGGTCACTACACCTCAGGTGAGGAGAGAGGTTGTGAAGGAGACTCTTCATGGTAGCCTCAGCTAGAGTGGGAATTGAACCTTCACTGCTTGGTATAATGTTCTATCGCAAACTAGGTGTCCAGCTAACTGTGCTAACCAAGCTCCAAACGTCCTCACTGATGATGCTTATGAAGCTAACTCCCTGCAAATTCTGAGTGGACACAGGGAGCATTCACAGTGCTCAATTAGTGAAATATTTTACTTGATATATTCTCAGTGGCATCTATGCAATTCGATGCGTTGTCAGTGGTGTATCTACAGAAATAATAAGATTGCATAAATTAACACTGGTACCATCCCTTAGGTCGCCAGCTATTCATGATTGGAGGAAACAAGATCTGACTTTACACAGTAATCACGAGCTTTAAACAAAATCTGAGGTAGTACATCCTGTGTTTGCTCAGAGTCTCACGTAGAAAACTTTCTGTATTAATTTATTTTCGATTTATTTTGATCAATAATCGAGGCTCAATGAAATGGAGGGTAAGCTGTAATATTTGTACTTTGCCAGTTGATGGCAGTGTAGTACAATTATTGGTCGCCTCTGAAATTCAGTGTATTAATCTTCACAGTTACTGCAAGTGCATGAGGATAGAGTTATTAGGGAGCAACTTTCAAAGACAAGCAGCAAGGTATAGATTAAAAACAACAGGTTAAAAAAAAATAGCAATCAATGCAAAGCACTATTTATCAGGGTACAGCCATCTGAAGATGAAAGAAGGAATTACAATGCCAAGGACACACAGTCTGCATCACACACACTGGGCAGTGCGAGGGAATCGTTATAAGAATACCCCGGGCAGTACCTGAGTAGCATTACTCTCTATAACAACAGTGTCAGAATAATACAAATCAAATTAAAGCAAAATGCTGTGGATGCTGAAAATCTGAAATCTGGAGAAAAGTTTTGAGTTCAGAACAGACTCGAAAAGTTAACTCTGTTTCTCTCTCCACAGATGCTGCCAGACCTGCTGAGTTTCTGTCACGCTTTCTGTTCATAAATCAGGTTCTGAGCTCTGGTTCACTTGCCATTTTATCAAGCAAAGTGAATGAAGCTATTGTAAGTTTTTTTTTCACTGTCTTGGTTAACAACGAACTCAGCATCGACTGATAATCAACTTGAGGCTATTTGTTTACCCCTCACAATTTGCTGCACTTCCTAACAAAACCATTAGGGGGAGCGAGTGACAAGATTCTGAATGAAGATTGCGGCTTCATGCATGTTACACTAGGTCATCTCCTCACTCACCATAATTATTGTGCAACACAAGGATCTTACTAATGCT